AGTCAATGGGGAAGCCAGCAGGAAGTCGCAAGTCACAGTCACGACAAGCCTTTCCTTAGGTGGCTTGCAAGCAGGCCACTGGGTGGGTGAGTGCTATGGAATGCAGGCAGGCAGGGAATGGGTGCTGAAACTGGGTGCAAATGTGGGCAGGTGGGTGGGTAGGTGCTGCGGCACAGCATGAGTGTGGCCAGGCACAGGGGTGGGTGCTGTGGTGTGAGTGCGGGTGGCTGCTGTGGCACAGGTGCAGCTAGGTACACGGGGGATGCTGCGGTGTGAGTGTGGGCAGGCAGAGCCTGCCCTTGCCCTGCCAACCAGGGGCTCCTCGGGAGAAAAAGCAGGAGCAACTTAGCAGACCAACTTGCAGCCTCCTGCCGGCTTCCCCATTGAGTTTACTTGTGGGAAGCCAGCAGGGAAGGTTGCAAATGGCGATCACGTGGTGCTGCGACCATTGTAATTGCGAGCCATTTGCCAAGCACTCAGATCATGATCATGGGAGCACAGGGACCTGCAACAGCTGCAACTTCAAGGATTGGTTGTAAATCCCTCCTTTAGCACCATTGTAACATTGAACGGTCGTTGAAAAAGTAGTCGTAACCCGAGGACTACCTGTAATATCAACTAATTACAAAATATACAAACACACACACACACATATCTCCAGAATGCAAAACGGGATGGGCTTTGGGGTAATCCAGCATTACTTCTTATGTATTCACCCCTTCCATTGTTTTCTTCCTCTTCTTTGATACAACTTCCTCTTAGCAACCTGGACTTACGCTTTGTTTGAATTTCCATTGGTTTTTTGTTTTTTGTTTAGTCTTAGTTTTCTTCTTAGTTTCAGTTTCGGGTGCCAGCTTATACAGTGTATACATTGCTTTTCTGATCAGTTGCTTTGAGAAAAAGGAGGTCAATTTTGTTCTGTTTTTCTTAACTGTATGGAAACAACAGAAATCTAACTTGGTCTTAATCAGGAATCAGGAAATAGTATACTTGCCTATTTATCACAAAACTATGCAGGCTTGGTTCACACAAGTCTGCTCACAGCTCATCCAAACTCTTCTGCTGGGCTCGGATAAATACTATACTATACTGTACTATACTATATTTTTTTCTTAAATTGATGTTCATGCATGTAAAACTGCAGTGCAAATTCTACTCCTTTTAATTGTTAACGCCTGCATTAGCAGCAGCTCAGATACAATATTGACAACAAAATTTTGTGTGTGTTATTAAATACAGTTGCAGCTTTGGCTGGATAACCCAAAGATTCAGCTGACCTTTGAGGCTACCCTGCAGCAGTTAGAAGCACCCTATAATAGTAAGTTGCTGGGGGTTTTTTTTTAGCATGTCATAGATAGTTCTTTGATTGTTGACTGGTGGTGATAAGAATCCAAATAGTTCAAAATAATAACAGCAGAGCCTTTAAAACACTGAATCTGAAGAGATGCTTCAAATGGTCACATCTCCATTTAAGCCTCTTCTCGCTTCTATCCTCCTGCTATTTTGCTTCTTAGCTTTTGACCTACTGACTTTTGTGCTCAGTGCTGTGAGACACTGCCTTTTCTGTTCCGTCTATACAAAGTGGTACGTCATCTATGTTTTACAAAACCTCTGTGCCAAAGCAAAATAGATTTTTCACACTGTCTGCAACTTACACAGATTGGTTCACACATTTGTGCAATTTGTCCTGTTTCTGCTAGTTATGGGGATGATCAAAGAGCAGCACTAGGTGCTAATACCATGAATCCCCTAATCACAGTCAGTATAATTCAGTAAATCCCTCTGACCCCTTTCTCTTCTGTTGATCTATGTATTGGCTGTTAATGTGGAGTAAACGTGTATAATTAGAGCTGAAAACTGGAGTAACACCGTCAAGTTCTGTAGAAATAATGTCCCTGTTCCTCCACAATGAATGTTCGTTCAAAGATCTTTTGTTGTTGTAGGTGATACGGTACTTGTCCACCGAGTACATAGCTACCTGGAACGGCATGGCTTAATCAATTTTGGCATCTACAAAAGAGTGAAGCCCCTACCAAGTAAGAAGTTAAATTTTTTATTCAAAATATATCATTTCATCTTTTAAGTAAAGGCTAAGTGATTTATGCCATAAGTAAAACAGTGCTGTAAAACTGAAGGCTCTTTCTAGCTTCCTCCTTTTTTTCAAGGAAGTAGTAAGGCTCACACATCCTTTTAAGCCATGTTTGTTTTAATATGGTTTGACACAATGTGCCTGGTTTATATTAAACGCTAAACCATTGTCTGTAAAACACAGTAGTTAAGTTTGCCTATCACAGTAGGTCAGAATGAGGCAAACCATATTATAGTGTATCAGATGGCTGAAGTTCAGAGATGACTTCTTTGAAGTTTAAAAGAAAGATAGGCTGTCAAGTTGACAATACATTGTTCGCTTATCTGCAAAAGTTATATCCCGCCTCAAAGTAACAAAACAAATATACCATCCGAATAGGTTACGTTTCGTGGTTGATCACTTATAGAGTCAGGAAGAGGTTAGATGGCAATAGGAGATAGCAGAGCAATGTCCACTCCCCGTCCTTGAGCTAAGCAGCAGAGGGTCTGGCTGCCAGTCAGGCTGGAAGATTCAGCTCTTGTTTAGGTGTATTTTATATTTTAATATGCTCTATTATGTTCAGAGGATCACCGTTTCTGGAAATCTCTGGCCCTTTTGGAAGGATGATGTGCTTAGCTCGTATTGGCTCATTTTGTCACAACCCAGCCTATGTTCATCTGTCCCCTAACATAACAACACTTCTTAATGTTTCTAGCCAAGAAGACTGGCAAGGTCATCATAATTGGTTCTGGAGTTTCTGGGTTGGCAGCAGCTCGGCAGCTCCAGAGCTTTGGAATGGATGTCACACTGCTAGAAGCCCGGGTGAGTGGGTCTACACTTAGAGGCTAATTTTCCCCATTAATCTGTACCTACCTGCCCATGAATACATTATGAGTCCTTTTGCTTGTTGACAGCAGTTCATGTGATGAGCACTCATTAAAGCAATACAGAAGCTGTGCTAAATGAGAGGTCAGAGGAGAGGCTAAGATTCTTTGCTACTTTTGCTATATCTTTACTTTGCATACTAATTGGGTATGTGATTTCCAGTTCCTTTATTTATGCAGGACCTGACTTTTGCAGAAGTGTAAGAATGAGGTTGAGTAGACTTCCTTAAAATGGCACATATTGTGAGGTTCTCTCCTCCTTGCCAGGTCCTAAGTTCTAGTATTTCAGAGGATTTGCTAAAATGTCTAATTATGGTGAGGGCCCCAAAGTTGTCAATCTTAGAACATTATACCGTTTTTTTTTTTTTTTAGGATCGTGTAGGGGGCAGGGTTGCTACTTTTCGCAAAGGAAACTACGTTGCAGATCTAGGAGCCATGGTAGTAACAGGACTTGGTGAGTCTTACCTTGAAAAGGTGCCTGAATTCAATTTCTGCAGCCACACACTTGTGCAGAATACAATCTCTAGGTACCTGGTTTTGGTGTTGCTTTTTTATTATCAGAATTAGCAGTTGACTCTTCCTAACTTCCCCTTTTCTTGTTCTTTCTTCTCAGTCTTGTGAACTATTTTCTGAATTGCTTTCATTTCTGTTCTCTGTAACAGTAGATCTTCCCAATAAGAAATGAACATCTTGGTATAAAGTCTCCCCTTTGAGCCAAATAATCTGAATAAAGATCAGAACGTGGCCATCCTGGCTGGGATGCTAAGAGTCATAGCCTAGCACACCTGGAAGGTGCTGGCTTAGGAAAGGTTAAATTAGTCCATTCCCTTACAGGGGAAAAAAAAAAATGTGCAAAAAGTCTAACAAGAGATGAGTATACCACTTTATGCCCAGTACACCACATATATTTAACTAACCTTTGATTAAATACTTTGATCATTATAGTTCCAGGTACTTCCAGATTTCTGAGCCCTTGTTTTACTAAACTGATTTTTTTTTTCTATGTATAAAATCTGTGTAGGAGGAAATCCAATGGCTGTGGTAAGCAAGCAAGTAAACATGGAATTGGCCAAAATAAAACAAAAATGTCCACTTTATGAAGCCAATGGACAAGCGGTAAGTCTAATTATTCTTGGAAAGCAGTTTTGAGGAAATAGTTTAACGCAAAATAATCTGTTGGCTTGAAGTAAGAGTCTTTGCCTAACTGGTCTTCAGTGTTTAATCAAACTCTCCTCCTTAAATTGCCATGTTTGCATGCAAGGAGCAGATATTTTCTCCAGTTGGAATTAAACATTATTCTAACATTATGTGCATTTTAGGAGCTGATGTCATATGAATAAAAAGATGGGCTTCCTCGCTTCTATTACAGCAATTCTGTAATGCTGAAAGAGCTTTTTTTTTTTTTTTTTACTAAAATTTCAGGAAAACATTTTGATTCTTGGGCAGAAACCTGGGTGATAAATAACACAGAAGATCTGTTATTGAGTCTCCATCTCCTTCTTCTACATTAAGCCTAATGTTGGAAATGGATGGGCCAAAGCAACTTCCTGAACCCCAGTGATAATTTAGCCATAAAACAGAATTTAACCTTGTGCAAGTCATTCCCTCCCTGCTGAATGAGTACTCATAAAAGAATAAACTAGTTTCTGGCACGGTTTGAAATGCTCACTGAATGGAAAATGCACTTTCAGGTTAAGGGGCTATACTTGGCCTCTCCATTTTGAGCTGTCTGCACCTGTTTAACTTCACCTTGCTAACCCGCAGGTTCCAAAGGAAAAAGATGAAATGGTAGAGCAAGAGTTCAACCGTTTGCTAGAAGCTACCTCATACCTCAGCCACCAGCTGGACTTCAACGTCCTCAACAACAAACCTGTTTCTCTTGGTCAGGCTCTGGAAGTTGTCATACAGTAAGTAAAATTAAGTTCACTCTTAAATGCCATGTGCACACCCATGTTGTGGTAGTGGCATTGCGTGTTACGATCTTGCACACAGCACATTATGGCCTAGATGCTGATGCAGCTTAAAATTCCTCCTTTGAAGGCCTCCATAGTTTATTGGCTTGTTCTTTTTCACTCTATTGCATTTTTCTACCTTGAGGAGACAGAATACCAAACATCTTACACACCCTGGAGAGAACTGGCACGGGAAGATGTTACAGTGTAGTTTTCCTTGCTGAAGAATAGTGCCATCTTTGCTAAAGGTCTGTGGTAGTTGCTGACATACAGCTGCTTCTTTCCCTTCCATAGATTACAGGAGAAGCATGTCAAGGATGAACAGATAGAACACTGGAAGAAGATAGTGAAAACCCAAGAAGAGCTTAAAGATCTCCTTAATAAGGTTAGCATTGTTTTTAAAGCATGAGTCTGAAAAAAGTTGACTTGCTTTTAAGGGGTTGGCTTAATCTAATTTTAAAGCAGCCACAGCTTTTTTCAGGCTCACGTGGAACTCTGAAAAAGTTAGGCTGCTTTAAAGAATTGCCAGAAGGTGCTGTGCTCACACTTGTGCAAAGCCAAAGTACTTTCTTCTAAATCATTTTCAAAGTGTGCACAGTCCTAGCATTTATGAATGCAGATCAACCAGTGCATCAGTAGTGGAATTCAGTAAGTAATTTGCTCAGCACCTTCAGATTTTATTTATATTTGGCTTCAGTTAATAAACCTCAAGATTCACATTAAAAAAAAAAAAGGTAAACTTTGCTATCCCTATCCCAAAGATTCTGTGGAGATGGAAATGTTTTGCTTCTCTCCTTTGACTAATGATTTTCCTCCCTTTTACAGATGGTGAACTTGAAGGAGAAAATAAAAGAGCTTCACCAGCAATACAAAGAGGCTTCGGAAGTAAAACCACCTCGAGATATTACTGCAGAATTCCTTGTGAAGAGCAAACACAGAGATCTTACTGCTCTTTGTAAGGTATGGATTAGTGTGTCTACTGAATATGTATTTATCTTTTTTCAACAGTAGCTACTATTGAAATATCTAATTTAATATTAGCTATTCTGTACACTTAATAAGCAGTTTCCTCCAACATCGCCTTTTAGTAATGATCTACCTATTTGTGTCCTTATCTAATTGTATTATTAGGAGTATGACGAGTTAGCTGAAACACAAGTAAAACTGGAAGAGAAGCTCCAGGAACTAGAAGCAAATCCTCCAAGGTAAAATCTTAGGCCTGTTCAGGGAAGAGACTGGATGTTTTCTGCTGATGGCTTGGCCATCCCTTCTGTCCTGGTCAAATAGATCAATAAAATGATTGTGATGGAAGAATAAATTGGTTCTTAATCTGTAGTATAGTAGTACATTCATAACTTGTCCTACAGTTATGATGCAGATAAACACAATCTGAAGAGTTGCAGATTCCTTTGAAGAGGAAGTTTGCACCTCAGTTTAAATGCTATGACTTGGATTTTAAAAATTGGTTTGTATTTCATGCGGTAGAAACATGTAAGAACCCCCAGTTCTATACAGTTCTCTCCTACATGGTCAGCTTGCTAAGGTGTAGCAATAAAGAACAAATCCAGAACTCAAATTTCTTGCCACCAACATTCATAGTAAACCAGAAAGGGCAAGATATATTCCTAATACAGGTAGTCCTCATTTAGCAACTGCCTTGTTTAGTGATCATTCAGTTACAACAACGATGAAGAAGTAACTTTACGACCAATCCTCGCATTTACAACATTCACAGGTCTGTAAAGCAAAGGAAAGCTGAAGTAAGATCATAAGCACAGTTGCAGTTTCACTTACCGACTGAGTTACCAGTTCCAGTTGTGGTTGATAAACAAGTACTACCTGTATATCATTTTTCGTATGAAAAATAAGCAGTTGTAAAGCAAAGTACAATAAACCCTCAATTTACTGAATCTCAGTTTAGTGACAGCAGATACAACAGACATATTTTCTGTTTAGATACCACCTACATTTAATGGACAAAATCTGGTGTATCTCAAATTGTCAAAATATTATTTATGTCAATTTGCATCAATTGCATCATGACATCAGGAGGGATGTAATTTAAGTAATTTGTGTCCATTTATGTCATTTGCATTATGACATAATGACACAACATATGTCATTTGTTTAACTGCCTCATTACCCCAAGTACCCTATTTGCTACAAATAATGTGTTTTCAGATTTAATGGACATTTAGGAATAATGGACACCACCTCCCCTGATGGTCCATTAAACCAAGGGTTAACTATACTCCTCAGAAATCACACTGTCATCCTAGCATCTTACCTAGGAAACTAAGTATCTTCACTCAGATTGGCCAATCTTGGGGTTAAAATCTTGAAAAAAAGCAAATAGGAAAATGGAGAGATGATCCTTAGAGGGTAGGGATAATTTGAGTTGGGGAAGTGATGGATCTTGGGTTTGTAAGGAAAAGGGATAGAGTTATGTGGAATGCTAAAGATCTGTTGAGAGAGAGGACTATGCAAAAGACTAACTTAGATCCATACGTCTCTGTTTTCCTTTTTCTAGCCTGTGTGTAATTTATGAGCCTTTAGGACAAGGAACAGTCTGTATTTTCTTGAGCAAGATAATTAACTATCCACTATAATAAAAACATTCCTGGCATCATATTAGTTTGTGAAATCTGGCTTAAAGAGCCTTTTCCCACATTCGTTTATTTAATCTGTTTTCTCTTGTGTCCAAAAGATTGGAAATTACTTATCCAAGTATTTATAATTACTAGTAAATTCTCACTAGGAAGAAGACAGTGAGTTTCTAGCAGTCTCTTTCTCTGGGCAATAGCTGAAGGAATGAAGGAATTTAAATCCCTTAGGATGCTGAGCAGTGCATAAACTCCATTGTCTTGCAGAATAATGAAGAACTTTCTTTCAAAACAGCTTGGGTGCAGGGGACTAAGCAGGGTAACACTGTTAACAGTTTGAGTAAAAATGATGAGAGCATATATTCAGTGTTTTGTTTTTTTCCCTCTCAAAAATGTACAGTGATGTGTATTTATCATCAAGAGACAGACAGATTCTCGATTGGCATTTTGCAAATCTTGAGTTTGCAAACGCCACACCGCTTTCCACTTTGTCGCTGAAGCATTGGGACCAGGTAACTTCTCTTTTTTCTTTTCCCCATGCTAAAATTTCAGTGAGGCCAAATGAATAAACACAAATGGCAGGGGAATGGAAGCATTCTTCTCCAGGATTGTATCCCTACCTATATCTATATCCATATCTATCTATCTATACATGCACACATGCACGTGCACTCAAAGGTTAGCACAGTTTTTGTTCTCTCTGACTCAGCTCTGCCTTCCCAGACATCCCAGTAGGCAGGTGGTGAAAACCGACTGGCTGTCTCTGCCCCTGTTCTTTGCTTGCCCTGGCTGTCACCTGGTCCACAAGAATAGAGCAGTGGCAGGAAACAGGTTCATTGAAGTGTACAAGTGATAATGCATGTAAAATTCAGAAAACTCAACCATGAATTGGCATGTGCTGTGCTAAGTTGAACTGATATTGCACAAGCAATCCAAAAGGAAAAGTGGGAAAAGGAATACAATGATGAATATCTAAAAATTAGATATAACTGGGCTCAAGAGCCATTGTCCCTAGCCCAACAGTAGAGCTTTTCTTCACCAGCAAATTCAAATTGGGGGCAGCAGGTTTATATAGGAAAGATCAAGTGATAAATACTATAATTTACTTAATAAATACTTCTGGGTTTTTGCAGGGGGGGTACAAAATTTAGTTTAAAAAAGGGCTTTAAACATGGAGGGGAAGATAAGACAACTAGAATCATTCTCTTGTTTGCCAAAACATGAACAGGCATGCTCAAAACCTAGGGAAGGAGGGATTTGATTGGACAGTCCCCACAATTTCTGAATATTAAGTGATCCACAATTGGAGAAAGTTTGATCTGGACTTTGTGTAACAACAGATAGATGGACTCTTTTTTCCTTTTGGCTGCATGCATTCAAGCACTAGCCTTTTGGCCCTGTCACCCATGGGGATTACTCATTCCTTTTGTCTCTAGAGAGCATGGGACAATATGAGGGGGAAATTACTGTTCCAAATGCATTACGCTGATGGGTTTTCTAAATCTCCTTCCCTGCTATTTCAGGATGATGATTTTGAATTCACAGGCAGTCATCTGACTGTGAGAAATGGCTATTCTTGTGTGCCTGTGGCTCTGGCTGAAGGATTAGATATCAAACTAAATACAGCCGTTCGGCAGGTTCGCTATACCGCTTCGGGTAAGCAAAACTTAAGAGTTCTCTCTGGTTGTCCTGTTGGCTCAAATGCTTCTTTTGGTATTGTCTTCAGGAAAGAATCTTTGCTGGATTTGTACTCCTTTCCCACACAATTTGTCAGTGCTTGGTTGTATTTCCTGTGTGTGCAAAACTGATAACAAACATGTTTTCTCATGGGTCTCCTGTAATAAATGAAGACAATAAAGGGGAACAATCAGGGTGAAAATAGGTGTGGCAAGGATGGATGCAAGATTAATAGTTAATAGCTCCAAAGCAGGGTTATTTATGATGAACCAATAATATTTCATGAGGGAGGATAAGTAAAAGGGAAGCTAGCTCAGGTTTAAATCTCTGCAGAACTGGTAGAGTCTGAATCCATCTAATTTTCAGAAGCAATGAACTGAAAATGGATAGTCATTTAGGCACTTATTCACCCATTTATCCTCCCTCATTCATCCAATTATACTAATCATTTCCTCACATGACAGTCTCTTTTCTCTCCATTATCACTAGGATGTGAAGTGATAGCTGTCAATACCCGTTCTACTAGCCAGACCTTTATTTATAAATGTGATGCTGTCTTGTGTACCCTTCCCCTGGGAGTGCTGAAGCAGCAGCCTCCAGCAGTCCAATTCGTTCCTCCTCTTCCCGAGTGGAAGACTTCAGCTGTACAGAGAATGGGATTTGGAAACCTTAACAAGGTAACATGAAATGCACAAAGAGGTACTTAGTAGAATTGCATGTGGGTTTACTCTCTCTCTGGAAGATCCAAACGGCCTCTGTCAGTACCTGAAGTATTTTCTGCAAGAATAAAAAGACATCCCTTTTTTTGAAGTCCTTTCATCTGTCACATCAATGTTTAACCGCAGATGGCATTTATTTGGCATTAATGCTTCCCTCCTTTCCTTAATAGGTTGTTCTATGTTTTGATCGTGTGTTTTGGGATCCGAGTGTTAATTTGTTCGGCCATGTTGGCAGCACCACAGCAAGCAGAGGAGAGCTTTTCCTGTTTTGGAATCTTTACAAAGGTAGTTGTGTGAAGGCGTGTAACACTCTACATTCACAGAAACAAACTGGAATCCCTGAATACAGAAGGTCCTATAAAGGGATTGTAAAATAAGTGTTCAGAGCCCATGAAATATTAAACAGTGGTATCTGTTTAAAGATTGAGTACAAGTTTGTTGAGCTTCCTTTCAAGAATTGGGGAACCAGCAAACCTGGAAAAGTTTGAAGTCGCGGTAAATAACAGTGTAGGAAATACAGTGGAGTTCCTCAGGTTGCATGGGCCTCAAAGGAGAGGAATTGGCAGAACAGGACCATATCATGCAAAAAGTGGCTCCCTGATCCTGTATAACTGGGCATGCCCGTGCCAACGAACTTGGGGCTTCAGCATGTTCTTTCAGCATAGCATGAGAGCTTCTCTTAAACCTTCCTCTTCTTTTTGGGACAGACTCGATTGAAAAAATTAAATCTAACTTTAACTGCTTTCAAGTCATTGGCCTTCTCAAGGCAGTTTACAGTATCAAGCAATACAATTCAGCATCTTGATAAAAGCACCTTAACTCCAACTTGGCTGAGAAATCTGTTTCATTTCTGGGCTGTTTGCAAACATTCACAAGGTGGGTGGCTTTAACATCACTCTTGCACCTGCTCTCTGTTAATGCCCTGTAAACTCTTGTTTCCCGAAACAGCACCAATCCTTCTGGCCTTAGTGGCAGGTGAAGCAGCAGGAATCATGGAGAACATTAGTGATGATGTCATTGTTGGACGCTGCCTCGCTATCCTCAAGGGTATTTTTGGCAGCAGTGCTGTCCCTCAGGTGCGTGTTGTTGTGTGTTCTTTATAATGCAGGAAGTTTTGCATTATGCGTAGCAGCCCAAATGCTGTTCTATTCTAGAAGCTCTTTTGCCTACATGGCTCCCTGTCTATCATAGTAAGGTTCTGCAACTTCCTTCAAGGGATATCCTTTTTGAAGCAAATCTACCAAAATACTAAAGAGCTGTTAATAACATACTATATTTAGAAAGGGTGCTGTTTTCAGACCACAGTCAAATTTTGCATAGCCTTAATCCTCTGAGATATATAATTTAAGCCAGGCTGGGACTACCTAGAAAAAGTTCTTTTGATTTCACCATCATCTGCCATCAAGTGCAAATTGTTTTCCAGCTGCTGGGAATTCCCTTCTCTGCTTCATCTTTTATATATGTACACAAAAGGTTATGGCTGTAGAATTCTCCATATTTTAGATAGGTTAATGCAAGTCTTGTTGCTGTTGTTAATCTTATGGCTTTGAGGTCTTAGTGCAAGAGGAAAGATGAAAAATTGTAACAGCCCACGGTTATGATTTGGCAAATGTCTCTTTCCCTTTTGCATTCTTTGTGAAGGAGGTGAGTCAACAGCAGTCTACCTGTTATTTGTCCTCTGTGTAGGTGCATCAGAACTTTTCAGGTTTTTGCTACTTGCAAGACTTTTAAACTGAATTAAAAGCTTGATTTGCATATTAATGTATTCCTTCCCTTATCCCAAGGACTTCATAAAAATGTTGCTGCAGTCATTCTCCCCCCATTTATCTTCCCATATTTCTTCTACTTCTTTCTCAGCCCAAAGAGACGGTGGTATCTCGATGGCGGGCTGATCCTTGGGCACGAGGCTCTTACTCCTATGTAGCAGCTGGTTCTTCAGGAAATGATTATGACTTGATGGCTCAGCCAATTACACCTGGCCCAGCCATTCCAGGAGCTCCTCAGGTGAGTGCTAGAACAATCTAGCCATAAAAACCTCCCTCAGGTACATGGCCTGATGACAATTTTCTTGGCAATAATCTTCTATGATTTATTTATACTTGTTTTAGAATTTCCTGGTGCTCCCTTCCAAGATCTGATCAGGATTGACCCTGCTTAGCTTTTTTAAGACAGCCAAGTTGAACCATGTGTTGCTATGACTTGAGTAGTATAATAACACCTGCAACCTGAGCTTAATTGTGGCACTTCCTATGTCAAGTGTATTATTTATTTGGATCAGATACAGGTTTGCCTCTTTATATAGCTTATTGTTGCTGTGGGGTGAAATTGCCTTTATGGTTTTGCCTCAGTCTCTCTTTTCTCTCTCAGAAAAGAATTCTGTTTTCTACTTGATTCCTTGGATTATCTCCCCCCCCACAATAACAATTCTGAGTTTATATTAATTAGATGCAGCCAAACTCATAGTGTTGTACAGTCTGTAGAAGTCACCTGGACCTTGCTCTGCAACCATATTGACCTGATTCTCACAACATGCTCAACTTAAAAAATAGTGAGTTGGGTAATTTGAATGTTGGGGAAAACCCAGCCATTGCCATCATGGAAAGCAGCTGTGTGATTCATTTTAAGTATGTATAGCAGCTGTGTTTTGTTAACCCAGGGGTAAGCAAAGAGGGTTGAGTGAACCCAGGTGTTAAGGGGCCAAGAAATTTTCCCACATGGGAACAAAGAAACAGAGTTCACTCAGACAGGGCTCTGTAGGAAGAGGGCTGTGTTAGTTATGATGGCAAAAAAATCAGGAATCTGGTAGCTGTTTTAACTAACAAAATTTTATTAAATGGCATCAGCTTTCGTGAGTTGTAGCTCACTTCATCCAATGCATAGAGTGGCTAGACTGACGCAGGACTTAGGGCTTTAGTGTAGGGCTCTGTGTAGACTTCAGAAGGGGGATGGGAGGCTGAATCTGTGCCATACTGCGGAGGTTGATGTTATCTGTTTTGGGAGCCAGTTGAGAGTCCCCACACCAGTGTGAGCAAATCCTTCCATCCATGCAAATAAAAGTTTCTGATCTGAACATGTTTTGAGGTTTGCCGTTATCATTTGCTGAATTTAAATTCTTGTTTTCATATCAGAGGGAGAGAAACAGAGCATGTATAACTGTCACACATAAAATATTTTTGTTTTCCTCTGCCCTCTTCATCTATGAAACGCTTGACATGTTTTTTGCAATTCTTCTGCAGAATTTACAGATTATTCAAACATCCAGTATCCATTTCAGGGGACATTACTAAAAACAAAGCTGGCTCTGACCATCCTTATTTTACAGGAGCCCTGTTGCCTTCTTCATGGGGTCTTAAGACATTGCCAAC